ACACCTGTGAACCATCACTATGATCAAGAGTCTCTACAAAAATTTGCTACTGTTTCTGAAGTTTCATTTGGAAAGAATTTTACTTGCAATAGCCTTGTAGGCAAGCCTTTTTCACAAGAAAAATATTGCACAAAAGAAAAGTTGTTTCTGCATTGTGCATTGTGATCACCTGCATTGTGGCTATGCCACAAAAAGGTGAGACATTTAGATCTTTGATAATCTGTGTAATAATAAACGGAGCTATTACATTTTTATTATGGAAGTAGATTTCATCCTAGCGTTTAAAAATTTGCTTGCAATTTTAGAACGAGAAAACACTTCTAGTAGTAGTACAAAGTTATTTGAGCCGAAAGACATGATGATATACAGTGTGGAAGGCCATTACATTTCTACCACAATTATTTTATCCTCTTAATCTGAATTTCTCTTAAAAAAAATTGTTCGTTTATCACTTTCCTTAGGACTAGTTGAGGAAATTATATATCTCTTATGCTTACCTGTTAATATATGCTGATTCACATCTGACTTCATGCCTTTTTAAATGTTAAATGAATAATTGCATACTGCAGAAAGCTTCAAAAGGAATTTTTCCCCATTTAGTAAATGTCCGCGGCTCAGAAAGTTCAGCACAAAATTCACGCTTCCTTTTTCGTATTTGGGGATTCAAGTATTCACAAAAAAAAAAAAAAATAGATAATGCAAACCACTACAAGGATCAAAGAGATTGAATTTGATAATCTCACAGCTGCAACAGTGCATCTGTCACTCACAAGTCTCAACTCATAACTGTTAAAAGGGCTCCAAACTTGCGAAGTAACCTTAAGTTGAACTTGACATTTGATGCAAAAAAGATGAATTTCCTGTTTGTCTGAAAATGAGAACTGTACTTTTAAGGCAAAATCTCCCTCACAAAGCCAGAGCTTTGTGATTTAATGTAAAGTTTTGGGAAGGGTGGCACTAGGGCCAGTGGACTTTCAGAAGAAGTATTTAGGGATGTAAGGACTTTCAGCCGTGTCAGTGTATCTCTGAAGCAAGGTTGCCTTTGACTCGCTGACTTCAAGCGTGGTCCCTAGTGAGACACTTGCTGATTGGCTGTTGTCTAGCGTAGAGGCTATCACTGATTGGCTGGTTTTCGGAAGCTTAGGCTGCCATGGATTTGCTCACTTTCAGAAACATAGTTACTGGGGTGAGAGTATTGCGATTAACTGATTTTCAAAACAGAAATCGTAAGTTATCTCTTATTAACTAATGGTGGCTACTGTTCACGACTTGGCATTTTGGCCAGAGAACAGTATTTTCCTTTCTTGAATATGAAAATAAGTACCTTTAATCCCCAGTCTCCCCTTTTCCCCAGCCAAACTAGAGATCTTAAGGAATTGTGCAGCTCTTTATTTGTAGGAATATGCTTTTCAGCTAGTGTTGCTATTTAAGTAATTTAAGTACCAATTACTGTGAAGGAAAATTGCTCTGATGCATTTCTGTCATTTACTGAAAAGAGCTGAATACAAGCCATTCAGGGTGTGCTGACGGTCAATACAGGGGATGCAGGACAAAATGTAGGACATGTCTTGTATATACAGGTACCTCTGTGGAGAAAGTGCGAGGGGATGGGGAGGAAGCCCCATCTGATTCTCATTTCTTTCTAGAAGGGCACTTATTGTAGTCCTGCTTGTTAAAGGAAAATATTGAAAACAGCCTAAAAGTCCATCAGTCGTGAACTGGTTGGATAAAGTTTTGCACGCCTATAAAATGGAATATAATGCAGCCATTAAAAAGTAGATGGAGTTCTGTGAACTAATGTGAAGACTACCACGAGAGTTAGGTTTAAAAAAACGAAATGCAGAACTCCATGTATGGGATCATTTGTGCTAAAGTATGTGTGGGGTCATGGAGGTAGAAATAAATATATGTTCCTTCCTATATGTATAGATTATGTTTAGAAGGGTATTCAAGAAGCAGTCTTGAGGATCTCTGGTGGGAGGAACTGAAAGGCTAGGAGGCTGAAGGGCAGGGAGCAGAAAGAGTCTTCCTTTTTATGGCATGTCCTTTTGATGTTGTTTCATTTCTTTATCCTTTGTGAATGCATTACCTATACTAAATGAGTTTATTATTTAAAAGCAATGATTTAAAAAAAAAAATCAGATATATGACCTGGACAGGAGGCACAGGTTTGATGTTGGGTGGGGGTGGACAGGATGTTTTCTGAGCCTGGTGATCCTTCTACACCAAGGTGGACCTCAGAGGCTGGCTGGTCAGCTGTGTGGAATGTTTCCCACATCTGAAGTCTCCTCCACATCGCAGAACACAGGAAATAGCCTGGGGCTGGAAGGGGAATGATGTCACCCACAAAGCAAAATACCAAGAAAGAGAGCTCACAGTAAATCTGCTTAATTGCACAGGCAGCCAGAGGGAACAGGGGCCAGTCTAATTATTCTCTGTAGATATCACTTCCGGGGAGCTCTCTGCTGACGGAAGTAAAAACCAAGTAGTGTCTTCTATTGTTTCCTCATTTGGGAATCAGTCTGTTCAGAGCATGATGGCTCCTTTACTGCAAAAAAACAGTCTCTACAGCACAAAACGTGTTACAGCGAGATGGTATGACAAAAACTTTTAAAACTAGAGGGATTGGGAGCAGTGGAACCCACTGTAGCAAATCACCATCATCATAGCAGCTAATACTTACTGAGCATTTATTGAATCCTAGGGACCGTTCAGATGCTTTGCATGCATTATCTCACTTAGTCCTTAGAACAGCTCTATGAGTTAAGCACAGTTATTCTAATTTTAATGATGAGAAAACTGCATACGGAGATTTAGAAATTCACCCGAAGTCATGTCAGCGGCTGATCGGGGTGGTTTGAACCCAGGCTGTCTGTACTCCTGGCCTTTTGATCATATTGCCTCCAAAAGAGGGTTTCTCTAAGCACAGCCTAAAAAACAATTAAAAGCATCAAGCATTCGTTACATACCTACTGTGTGCCTGGGGCTTGGAGAAGTCCCATGGGAGACATTTGATGTTTCTGAGTACCTGCATAACTCCTGGAATGGGATTTTTAAAAATTGAGATGAAATTTACCTGACAAAATTAACCATCTTAAAGTGAACAATTCAGTGGCATTTAGTATACTCACAATGTTATGTAACACCTTGATTTAGTTCCAAAACTTTCATTACTTCATAAGGAAACCCACTATCCATGAAGCAGTTTCTCTACTTACCCTTCCTCCAACCCCTGACGAGCACCAAATCGGTGTTCTAGCTCTGGATTTACCTACTCTGGATATTTCATATAAATGGAGTTATACAATAAGTGTCTGGCTTCTTTCACTTAGCACACTTTTCTTGAGGTTGATCTACATTGTAATATGTATCAGTACTTTCTTCCTTTTTATGGCTGAATAACATTCCCTTGCATGCACATACCACTATTGTTTATCCATTCACTCCAGGATAGATATTTGGGCTGTTTCCACCTTTTGGCTATTCAAATAATGCTCCTGTGATCATGCATGTACATGTACTTGTTTGAGTACCTGTTTTCAGTACTTTGGGATGTATGCCTACAAGTGGAATTTCTGGGTCATATGGTAATTTTATAGTTTAACTTTTGAGGAACCGCCAAATTGGAAGGTGGTATTTTGACGTTAGTATATTTCCTTGGTACTTTGGCTTTATCCTATCCAAGAAAAGGAGAGCCCCTTTCTAGGTGAATAAAAGAAACAGTGTGGTGTAGTGGAGAGAAGACACAGACTGACCTGGTTTTGAATCTTTGTCAGTAGCATGTGCATAGCTTAGTTATAAGCCTCTTTAAGGCTCAGTTTCCTTATCTGTAGAAATGGAGATGATTGTACCATCCATCCATTAATTCAGTGAACCTGTTGAAGGCTTACTGTGGGCCAGGCACTGAGGATAGAGTGAGCTGTCATGTAGTGTACAGAGAAAGGGATGGGAGGCAGGGAAGAAGGGAGGACCCAGGAGCAAATTATTCGGCAAAGGGAAGACTCTTTTTTGTCGTGAGAATAATCACTCCTTTCAATCAGATGTAGTCACTGAGCCCATTCAGGTGGTCCTGTGTCTTATTCCTCTCTGTACCCAGCCACCACAGGGCCTACAGAAAGACATGTCATTTAGGGTTCTGGGTGGCAAGTAGCAGAAATTGAGCGGCTCTGTTTAACAAAGATTACTGAGAAGAGATGAGGATAGCTCCCAGAATGAAGGAATGAAACAATCAGCCCTCTTGGAGGTGAGGAAGAGACCAGGCACTGACAGGCTTCTCAGTCCCAGTGCCTTGTCACTCTGCACGCCCCCCCCGACCCCCCCCACCCGCCCCGTCCC